TGAAGAGGGCTATGCTCAGGGGTTCAAACCTAGGAATGAGGATATCTGCAGCAGAACCAGAGTGACCGACATCGACCAATGGATTAGTACGCTGAAGTGGAAGTTGACCGGCCATATAGCTCGAAGAACCGAATACCGATGGGGAAAAAAGGTTCTCGAGTGGCAGCCCCGTACCGGCAGGTGAAGTGTAGGACGTTCCCCCACTAGATGGAGTCAAAACCTGGTAAGATATGCAGGAAGTTGATGGATTCAGGTAGCTTAGGACCGTGCTTTGTGGCATTCCTTGGGGGAAGCCTATTTTCAGCAGTGGACTTGTGAATGGTTTTAATGATGATGAATGATAATGGTGTTATATTAATATGATACATAAATAGAATGGACGTTACGGGTAGAGTCCATCTATCCATAGAGTCCTTTCTATTTATTTAGGTATAGGTAGGGTATAGAATTTTTATCGATTTAATTTGATACACTGTCTTATCCCTATTATTAGTTCCGTGGGCGTGCAATTCTGCTGTCAGCGCCAAAATGGCGGAAATCAAATCGCTTCATCATGTCACGGTGTATAGCCAGTCCAGCGTACTTGTATATATAGAGGTCAGTGAGCTTTTGGCTCGGGGTTCTAGCCCTTCTGAGCCGGAAGTTACAATGTTTATCTTTAAAAATTACGAAACATTCATCAAAATTCATTTTAACGCTGATTCACAAATCACAAAAAGTTTATTCACGTTTGCTCTATTGATTAATATCACATTTTCATTTTTACATATTTTGAACACCAGAAATAAAGGAATGTAATGGTCGAAAGAATTTTTCATCAGCTAATAGACTATGAAGAGTATCAGGAACTTTATCATTGTTAATATCTTGGATTGAATTAATGAGGAGTAATCTATTCAAACCGAATTAACAACATTTATTCAGCAGCAACAGTTATTCCTAGTGTATATTAATAATCTGTGTAGTATGAGTGTGAATAGAGGAAGAGTTTTCTCATATGCACATGACACTGCGATATTATTTTGGGGAGACACTTGGGAAGAAGGGCAATCGATAGCGGAAAAACAATTAGCTAAGGTTGCTCGTTGGCTTGATAATAACTTATCACTTTGAATGTTAATAAAACTCAATTCATATGTTTTTCTATAATTAGCCGATCACAGCCAAAAGATGATTTTAGACTTAAAATACATAAATGTTACAATCCTTCCAGCGGTAACTGTCCGTGTACATCTATTCAAAAAGTTTCATACATAAAGTATCTGGGCGTTATGGTGGATCAACGACTTTCCTGGTACAAACATGTCGAATTAGTGTCTAGTAGAATTCGAAAACTCACTTGGATATTTAAAACTTTAAGATATGTTGCTTGTCCAGACCTTTTAAATCAAATTTATGTAGCGCTTGCTCAATCTATAATAATATATTGTATACCTATTTGGGGGGGTACTTATAAAAGTAAATTTATTGAAGTTGAGAGAGCTCAAAGATGTTTATTGAAAGTTATACAATTTAAGCCATATAGGTTCCCCACTAGCATTTTGTATTCATCTTGTGGGGTGATTTCGGTGAGGCAGTTGTACATATTACTCACTTTGTTAAAAAAACATAAGTCTTTGTCTTTTAATCCTACTTACGGTAGTAAAAGAAGAAATTATAGTGTAGTTCCTATATGCAGTACGAAAACAAACTTTGCGAAAAATCAATATGAAAAAGGATCAGAACACTTATATAATCAAATTAATAAAATATTGCAAATATATCCTTTAAAGACATACGATTGTAAGAAAAAAATAATGCAGTGGCTTGAGACACTTAATTACGATCAAACTGAAGCCTTATTAGAATTTATCCTATAAATGCATTCACTCACTGTCTTTTTCTCATACGTACACACGTACATACCCACACAAACACACACACACACACACACACACACACACACACACACACACACACCTGTTTCTCCTATGTTAATTATACTTAGTTAAGGGAGGGCGAGGGCCTTCTACCACAAGTATCTTTATACTTAAAAGAAGTCCTCAAACTCGTACTAATTTTAAGAAAACGTTGGAAACAATAAACTTTCATTTCAATAAAAAAAAAAAACATTGAAAAACCAGATGTTTTGTTTCATTCCCAAACAGTGAAGTCTTCTCTGCTATGTCCAAATCTCATTCTGTTTACAGTCGTAATAAATGTTCTATTATTAATCTTTTTTCTTCTGCTAATTATTAATCTAATCTAATTATTAATCTGCTTTCTTCTTTTTATTGTACCAAGGAGTGGCTGGCGGGCTTTTTTGCATTTCATAATACCAAATTCCTTTGGACTTTCTTATTTCTTCCCAGTATGACTTCCACAAGGATTTCAAGTTCTTGCTTAACAAGGCATATATATCTGTAAATGGTATTTCCAGCATTGAGGAGTGATCTGAAAATGATAATGAGGATACATCTCTAGTAGCAATGTCTGCTTCATCTTTCCCAGTTATCTCAGAGTGTGAAGGAACCCACATAAAGGTAACAGTCTTCTTTACTTTATTAAGATTGTTTAATAAGTTTCTTAGTACCCGGATGACCGAGCTTTGCTCGGTTTTTTTTGAAATTATTTTTAGATACAAATTACATACTGATGAATAATATTTTTTTGATCTTATTGACATAATAGAAAAAACTGTAACTGTTTAAGTTTAATTAAAATTTTCGTAGTTTAAAAAATACAAAAAAAAAGGCTCAAAATAATAGATATTCTCACAAAAGAAGGTAAATTGAAAAAAAAGGAAAAAAAATCTAACCGAAGGATTTTGACCGCTCGATATCCCCTTGAGCTATTACGATCATTAACACACTGTTAAAATTTACCTTCTTATAGAGTAGCAGATTTTCATTGCCTGAAAACACGAACAAAAAGAAATCCTAGCTAGATCGATTTATTGCCCCCGAAACTCTCAAGACACTAAATTTTATGAAAATCGTTGAAGCCGTTTCCGAGATTCCGATTATATATATAAGAATTGCTGGTTTAAAGGTATAGGATATTGTATAATCCTTTTTGTTAGTTTCAATTACTAATATAACACTTTTTGAATCAGTTACAATTAGAAACCGTGAATTCGCAATGTTTTGCATGTACAATATAGCTAAGTATATTGCATAACATTCAGCTGTAAAAAATATTGCACAAATTGTGAATTTTAAAAGTTTTAGATATTTTATTTTTTTATAATCATAAAATGCTGAAGTTGTGTACTCTTCAGATTTTGATCCACCTGTATAAATTATATAATAATCATTATCATCAAGATATCTTAACATTTCCATTTGAGAATTCACTTTTTCTTGACATACAGAAATTGTGAATTTTAACTATATTGTTCACTAAAGCATCATATTCTATTTTATATAAAAGCCATGGTTTACTTTGATACACATTTTTGGTTTGGGTCTGTGAGTATAAAACAATCCTTACGATGTCTGGTAATCGACCATATTTATGAGCTATCATCAAACTCGGGAACTTCATAAGGAAGTATTTTTTAAACTAAATTATTTTTAGAACTGATTAATTTAACACAAAACCGTTCAGCAATTTGTAGCCTTCTTAGTATAAGTGGAGGAATACACCTTTCTACTTCCGTTACATGGATTGGTGTAGAGCATGTAGCCCCAGTTATTATACGCAATTCTTTATTCTGTATTATATCCAATCTATTTAAAATCAATTTGTTTGCATTTAAGTATTCTAATGTGCTGATTTTAACACATTGAGACCCCTACAGGCATTTTTACATAGATTATTTACATGTTCTTGGAAAGTTAGCTTCTGATCAAGCATTATTCCTAAAAAAAAATTTCTGTAACCAAGGCAATGGTATGTTATTATATTTTACAAAAATATCACGTGTATAATTTTTTTTGGAGAAAATGAGAGCTCCACTTTTACTAGAACTAATGTTTACTTTCAACTTATTTGAATAAACACCATGAATTTGTTCTAATGCTAAATTTAAATTGTTTTACGCTATATTTACATCTTTATTTACAGTATATACAAGGAGATCATCAGCAAATTGCAAAAAGAATTTATATTTGTAATATATTTACTTATTAAACATGAATATATATTATACCGGGTGGCCCATAAGTCCCTTGAAATGTAAAAAAATAATTTAAAAAAAAACTAATGACATTATGAAAAAGGTTTTTATTTTGTCATAATCCTTATAAAATGGGAATTATTTTTTGAAAATTACATCATCTAAATGTATCGTAACGGATTACGATCGCGGCACTCCTGTAAGCGACGTTTAAAATTATCCATCACTGCGCGGCAAGTAAGCTCTGTAATGTTTGCCATTTCTCTTTGGATATTTTCTTTCAGGACGTCAATTGTCCGCGGGTTGGTTTCGTACACTTTAGTCTTAAGATAACCCCATAAGAAAAAGTCCATTGGGGTCAGATCTGGACTACGTGGTGGCCAAGGAATATCTCCTCTTCGAGAGATCACTTTATTAGGGAAAAGTTGACGGACGACCGGCATAGCGACGTTAGAGGTATGGGCAGTTGCTCCATCTTGTTGAAACCAGGTCCGCGTATTGAAGCCTGGAAAATTCTACAACTCTGGTGTAAAAAAGTCCTGGATCATAGCTACATACCGTTGTGAAGTAACAGTAAGCGCGCAGCCTCTGCCGTCCTCAAAAAAGTAAGGGCCTATAATGCCATGCGCTGACATAGCCGCCCAAACTGTCACTTTAGGGCTATGTAAGGGCTTTTGATGTTTGCGATTTGGATTTTCGCAACTCCAGTAGCGACAATTTTGCCGTTGATGTGAAAGTGAGCCTCATTTACCTCTCGTCTGTTGCCATTACCAAACACAATATATTACAATCAATTTTTCGCATAGATCTATTTACAGATGACACCATCCTAATAATAAGTACTTTTATTTTTCAGATTACCGAAGATGACTATATCTGTGAAGCATGCAGAGATCTAGCAATGATAAGTGTAAATCATAATTTACAAGAAATATCTTGCATTGATGACCAACAACCTGGACCAAGTCACCAAGGCCACGCTAGTGTACGCCTTTTATGTGGGTGTTCCATTTTGCAAAGGCAAAGTGACAGAATATTGAGAGATAACCCCATGGACCTGCATCAGTTGATGTTTACTGTTATTGAAAACAGGGTTGCTCCAAGACAGGTATGCTATGTACATTTAAATTTTTTGATCATTGTCTTAGTCTAGTGGTCTGCGTGGACTACGAAACCATCAGTTGCGGGTTCAAGTCCAAGTGTCAAATGTTTGTGTGATGAGCATGAACATTTGTAGTGATGGATGTTTATAATTGTATATAAGTACTATCTGTTATCCTAGTTGGCATAGCATATGCTCAGGCTTAGTTTCAAACTAGCTAATTGTTTTGATTGTTGGAACTATTTATTTCTAATCTTTAAGCAAATGGGTATTTTTGGTTTCTATGTGTACATATACTAACACACATATATCATTGATTTGATTTCCAAATGTTATGATTATTATGTGCTTATATTATGCTAATCAAATCTATGAATGGAAGTGTATTAGAATATATTCAAAAGGGTTTTACTGATATGCCTATTTTCCCACACATTTTATTTAAAAAGAAATTGTTCAGCTTTCTCACTAAAGTATTTTTTTATTTCTAGGTTACAGAAACTGATAAGGTATGTCACCCTTGTTGGTTGCACACTCAAAGAGAGGCCCGTCATACCCATTATGTCAACAGACCACAAACTGCAACTGAGGAGTCGTATATTTAATTTTTTTTTGATTTGCTGGATTGGACTTACCAAAGAAAAGTTCAACAGTATATTAGAAGAAGTTCAACAGCAGATATTCCTATAGTAGCAGAGGTGCAGCCATCTTTTTCAAATGAAGAAGTGAGTCGCACACCAAATGGATTAACTTTACCAGATTATAGAAGGCTAACAACAACAATTGTTCTGTTTTCAGCGATTTTAACAGTACCACATTGCATTGCATCAGTGACAAACTCCGTGCTATAGTTCTAAGCAATCACAACTATTACATACCTAAACTAGTTCATGTTTGCAGTGAACATTTAAGTAGCAATTTATGGGATACTATGGGATACTTTATATGATTCTGCAAATAGTTTTGACACTTTTACTGCAGATCAAGTGCAACATGTATTTTCTTTTATTAAAATTAATACAATATTGGACTTCGAAAATGTTCTTGAAATGGATGACATATTATTCGAATACTGGATTGGACTTACCAAAGAAAAGTTCAGCAGTATATTAGAAGAAGTTCTGCATATAAATGAAGCACGAAAAGGATGCTTGGGCCTAGCAGCACTTTTAATGAAGATGAGGACAGGGGATTCTGATGAAATAATTGCCACTTTAGTATAAGTGCCGCACAAAACACTAGAGAATTCAATAGACAAAATAAGAGAGATTTTGCTCCAAGATTTTGTACCCCAAAACTTGGGAATAAACCATTTAAAGCGAGAACAACTGCTGGAGCACAAGTTAACACATGGCCTTTATGGAAATGAAAACAACACAAATGTCATTGTAATTTGTGATGGAACATATATGTATATACATAAATAAAAATTCAAACTACATGTTCCAAAAACAGAGTTACTCCCTTCACAAATATAGAAACTTATTAAAACCATTCATGATTGTCGCATGTGATGGATATATTGTTGATTTTTTTGGTCCATACAAAGCAACTACATCAGATGCAGAACTAATGACCAATTTGTTCAGTGAGAGTTCTGCTTTAAGATCATATTTTAGAGAGAATGATATATTTATCTTGGATAGGGGATCGAGAGACAGCATAAGTTTATTAGAAGGATGTAGGTACAAACCATATATGTCAGAATCTTTGATAGAAGGTGAACACCAACTCACACTGCTCAAGCCAATCGGAGTCGCTGTGTCACAATTTGCAGATGGGTGGTAGAGGCCGTAAATGGACATTTTAAAAGAGATTTTAAAATATTTCGACAAGAATATTTCCATAGGTCTCTACCACATATGATGCAAAACTTCCAAATAGCAGCGGCTCTGTTACACAGGTTTGGTGTTCGCTTTGTAGATAATAATATATATGCCACAGAAATATTAGAAATAATTAGGCAGCAAATGAATTTCGAAAATAATCTTAAAGGGTATGTTCCGAAATACAACGCAGTGTACTGTCCAATGCAAATGACGTCATCATTTGACAGTTTGACACTTTAATGTACTAGCATGCCGCCGCCATATTGTGTTGGATATCCGGCCATAATAAAACAATTTTTAATTGTGTGTTTGCCGAATGAAGCATGCCAGAATTTGTTTCTATTTATTCAAATACAAAAAATTATAGAATAATTGATGGTATAATGATTTTTGGAGCACAAAATGACAAAATAATCGCCAACACTTTTCCAAATGGCGCAAAAGTATGACGTCATATACTGTCCAATGTTTTGGAATGAATCACCAGTATAGCGACGATTCATGACGTCATTTGCATTGGACAGTACACTACGTTGTATTTCGGAACATACCCAAAATGTCATCCACTGTTAATATTAATATTATATTAATTTATGAGGCGATCATATTATGTATAATGGGTGCAGACTATTTTACAACAATTAACATTGATCATTAAAGACTCAGCATAGAACATACCTATAATAGATTTAATATTCTGATAAATATAAGATATTACGTTTCCTTAGAATAAATAAACACACGATTTGTGGATACACTCAGCTACAGAGTAATGTGGTAACTCTTATGTCGACTTCCAAAGCACGGTATCGACGCAGTGTATTAACGCATATGTTTCAATTGATGCACATAATGCGAGTAACTCTATCACGATCGCTCATCATGTCTGAATTAAGTAATCCTGTGACAACAAGATACAAATCGTATGGCACAAATCCGAGTCCAGATGAGAATAGCGCAATGTCGTCGGGTGTAGCAGTATCGGAATCCTTGGGCATGCGATATTCACACAACAGAAAATCAATATCGGACAAGTCCAGGGGCAGTCCAGGGCGAATAAAAATAAGGAAATCCACAGGCAAAAGGCAAAACCAAGAACACAAAACACAGGCAGCACAAACGGCGCGAGAGCAGTGTGTCAAACGTCAAAACGTCATTACGACACTGTCATAATTGACAGGTGTGTTGCTATAGCATTTGTCTCACTAAACAAACTGAATTCCAAGAATATATAAGCAAATACGAGATATTTTTTTTAAATAATCTTATGCCACTTGTGTTTAAATGATATTATAATAATTATATTATTTTATCGTAAACCAGATACAACAAGAGAGGTGAAAATGATTTCTCGTATACTAGAACTGAAATAATTATAAACTGGTCACACTAAGTGATAGAAGCGATATACATTTGATTACAATCAATTACGTCCCCAAAAAAAGTTGTGATTTTTATTCCGGCCTTTACTAATTTTGATGTTAATTTGATAAAACGCAATAATTTTTTTGATTACGTCCTATAATAATTATAACTCAAGACGCTTCAAAATATTTGACATATTATTTCGCCATTGTCCTTTAGTCTGTGGATAGTGTCAGTATCTTTTAATTCCTGTACTATCTGAATCTTGTACGGGTGAAGATGTAAATCTTTCTTTAAAATTCGCTGTAACGATGTTCTGGGTAAGTTTAATGCACTGGAACGCTTATGAGTAGACTGGGTAGGATTTTCACGATTAGTGTTTCACTACATCGATGTTTTCTTCCGTCCGTGATGTCTTTGGTCGACCTGACCGGCCGACCAACGTCGAACCACTCTCTTCGAACTGATTAACCCAGTTCTTAATCGTTTGAACACTTGGAATGTCTTTAAAGTTGCGTAAATTCTGATATTCTCGAAATTTACGCCGTGCAATGGTAGCCGAATCATTGTTTCGATAAAACTCGCGCACACAAAATGCTCGGTCCGCACCGGTGAAACGCTCCATGGCGACTGAATTCCCAGAAACCGTCGGTACTCCCCCTGCACCGCGCGCGCCACTCATGCGCGCCTTTTGTTTGTCGGTGGCCCATAAGTCGTTTGAAATTTACATTTCTAACGACTTATGGGCCACCTTGTATAACAAGATAGATATAGTAGCACCCTGCATGGTGCCTTTGTATACATTTCTAGGGCCATGTATTACGTAATTAAATTAAAATACATAGTTCGATCATATAATAAATTAAAAATCCATTTACATACTTTTCCAGGAATACCAATCTCACACAGAATATTTGCCAATATGGAAGGATCTACATTATCAAAAAAAAAAAAAACTGTAGTTGCATGACTGGTAAATGAATGATTTATATCTGAGATCAAAGAGGCCAAACTCTCTGCTGCTATTTTTCCTTGCCGGAAACCAAATTGTTGTTCAGGTACGCACTGCGACGACGAAAAAACTATCATCAAAATATGAGATTTTGATGATAGTTTTTTTAATACATTTAGCATTAATTTTACATATAGTATTTCAACAGCTCTTCATTACTTATATTGATGGGAACATACCTCAGTACCCCGATTCATTTCCACCGTCCTTGCTGGTACAAATGCCTTGTAATCATACTTCTCTAAGAAACTTTCATTTTTCAAAAAGTCGTTGGCGTTAATCGCCCTCGCAAACACCACCTCTCCTTTAGAAGCATTTATCCTTCTTATATTAATGACTGCTTTGACTTCGTTTCTGAAAATTTCCGCCAATATTAAGGGATTCGTACTGCCTAATTTAACTCCTTCTTTACGACTCTCAATAAAAACCGTGTATTCAGCCATTCCTATCGACTCAGGAAAAACTCTTTTATAATTTAATTTCTAATACGGCTTATAAAAATCATCATTTTCCCGCTGCAGGTCTGGACTATGCTTTGGCGGTTTTTTTCCCGCCCATGTCGTAATCCATGGCTTTATTAAGCAGCGAGTAATCGGCGCGCAAACACGCGAGCCGAGCCTGGCTCCGCTCGTGATTCAGCGCACCACGCGCTGTTTAAAGGACTACGCTCGGCGCGGCTCGGCAAAGTTCGCACGATCCGTCACTTGTCGGTTTTTTCGACACGGATCAAAGGTGCGCGCACCATCTTCGGCTCGGATTGTGTTAATACGCGCCGTCTAAACAGATGGCACAGAACGCGCGACGGAGGAAGACCCATTTTGTTTTTAGTGACGTTTTTAATTTTTAGAATTGGGTTTGTACGAGATGGAGTGGAGAAATGAACTCAACTCATCTCTTCATTGAACTGTATGAAGAGAAACCAGCGATATGGAACCCAAAAGATCCAGGTCACAAAAATCGCAACAATGTGCACGATGCTTGGAAAAGAATAAAAACTAAGTTCTGTGAGGGACGTATATCAGTGTAAGAATTAAACTAAAAGAAAGGCTAATTTAATGGCCACTTACAGAAAATTAAATGCGAAAGTGAAGTCAAGTGCAACAAGCGGGAGTGGTATAAATGAAGTGTTTAAACCTAATTGGCCATTTTACGAACAGATTTTGGCCAAAAACCAACAACAACGATAGTTCAGAGGTAAGAAACTATCCTTTTAATCTTTATTTTAAATTTTTATATCCTATATTAGAAATAGACGACCGGGTATCCAGTGGGTGTCGGCACAGGTGTTAAAGCGGCGGCGCCAATTGACAATGCTGTCTAGTTGCCGCTAGACAGGCAGGGGCTTTTACTATTAAAACATTAAAAAAGCAAGATCAATTTAATATTTATTTTGCCAGCTTACTGCGCCCTTTGTTGTGAACTGCGTATTTCCACGGACGGCTCAGCTCGCGTAGGATAGTGCTACTCCGCGTCGTTTAAACGAGCAGGCTTGCGTTCGTATTTAGCCGAGCCGCATCTCCACGGACGGCTCGGCTCGCGTAGGATCGTGCTACCTCGCGTCGTTTAAACGCACCTTTAATGCCGTCACTATCAGACGGCATTTCTCTTTATTTAGTATAAAAACACATTTTCCTTTAGAAGTTGAAGTTAAAAATATACAATTGTAATTTTAATTTATTAAAAATACGCGCTTCATGCTCCCGCCAGTAAAAAGGAAGATGACAATTATCTTGATTATGACCAGTCCCGTTTGATTTTTTTATTAACTGGCTTTACGGTTCTGGGTTCTAGCCCTTCTGAGCCTAGTCCCGTCTGACGCGTAGTATCCTCCACAGAGTACTTTAAATAATCCAAAAGTCGCCAAAAGTATCCCCTTAGTAGTCTGTGCAACAGAGTGTTTATGAGTGCGTAGTATCCACAGAGTACCTTTGTATCACAGAACACTATCTTTGTATAAAGTAGTATCCTCTTAGTAGTCTGTGGTTTAGTGTTTACAATTACCCTGACCCTCTCTGTATCTTTGAATTTAAGTATTTTTAAGTTTGTTTCAAAGAGTGTAATAAGTATATACAGGAAGTTTGTTTTTAAGAGTAAACAGTAAGCATTTGATAACAGATTAAACTTAAACTTGCGTAAATTTTTGAATAGTTCCTGCTCACCTTTGGTAGCATAATATCTAGGAGCTAGCAGTAGGAGTAATAGTGTTCTATTCTGTATGGTAAACATTTTAATAAAATATAGCATATTTGTAGAATTTTTTTTTTAAATAAATCACACAGAGATTGTAATCATCTGAGAGTAGTACCTAAATTCCTTATTCAATTGTATACAATCATTATTGCTTAAGTTGTTTCCAGTCGTGTATTGCAACTTAAAAATGTTTCATTTGTAACAAATTTAAATTTAAAGGTGTCAGTATGAGTAACAAAGGAAGTAATTCCAGTAAAAATATTGGGATATGGATATCGGAAAAGAAGAGTCATAAACTCAACTGGAAGGAACTCATTAAAGCCTGCAACTCACGCGGTTATAATCTAATTAAGGTAAGCATTCCGTTAAACATTGCTTAGATAAGATATCGTAATAAATCGCATATTTATTTCTTAAAATGCTTGTAAATTTACAGCTTGATTTAGAGAGGCCTTTGGAGGATCAGGCTGAGTGTCATGTCTTCCTTCATAAGTTGACAGATATTATTGCAGCAGCTGATCAAGGTGATTCAAAGGTATATTTCATATTTTCTAAAGCCAGGTTTCTAAATTTAAAAATGTTTTTAAATATAGAAATCATATTTAAAAAAAGTAAGTGTTCTTTTCTTTATGAAGTAATATTCTACTAGGAGTGGTTGTTACAAAACGAAACTAGTTACTGAAACTATCTATTCACACAATAGCGGATAGCGGGTTGTTGCAGTGCAACAAAACTATCTATTACAGTAGATGTTTTACTCAGTAACACAATTCCCGTTTCACAATTACGAAGGAGCGATCAGTAACAATAACAAAACGTTTATTCGGCTATTTTCGCGACGCATCGGCGACGGCTTCGGCTGTTGAAGTAGAAGCACATGAGTAAAGAAACCGACTCTACGCTGTGGTGGAAGTATCACAGGTCGTCAAATGTTGAGTGAGCGCGGGTGCTTTTGCATTTGACCTATGACTCTATTCCCTTCGTATAGATGCGATATTAGAAATGAGAAAGTAAGTGTGCATGTTTTTAACAAAAAATAGTTCAAATTCCATTATTTAAGTGGCCCTGGCCCGGTTTATATTAGTCTTGTGTTTAAGTTTAATGACACGGTTTGTTTTTACTTTTTAGGCGCGTTTGTTAATATTTTTGTTTTCTTTTTGTGCAATAATAATAATATTTTTAGTAAAATAAGAACTAAATGCATTTGTATATATTAGTGTTAATAATAATAATTGTACAGTAATTAGTGTAAGTAACTAAGTATAAAAATAATACTAATACTTTATGTGATAGTTATCAAAAATATCTCGAAGTAATGCCAGTGTACTTTGGAACTTTTTTACAAAAGATACTACAACCATGAAGGCTAATATTCTATAAAAACATCAATAGGTACATGTATTCATTTGATTTATTACATAAAAATGTAGGCTTGAGATGTCTAAAAATAAGCATTGTATTAATTATTTGCTATAAAATCAAACTTATATTCGATATTTTATGCTGAACTTGTGGGTGAATTTATCATAATCATAATTATTAAATAAATTGTTTGCCGTTAAATCTTTTCAAGTGATATTTTTATCAAACCGTGCGAAATGATTAAACAAATAAATAAATTTAACCATTAACACCATGTCTAATTCTATATGAAATGGTAACAAACAAGTTTTCTCGTGAAACGGACATCATTTTATTATTGAAGCCGAAACACTATTGAAGTTGAAGCCGCTATTAAAATAGAGTGTTTCAAAACCCTCTATTAAAATAGAGTTTTTCAAAAGCCGCTATTGATATTCGATAGATAGTTTCGTTTCGTTACTCAAAAAAGCCGCTACTACCCACCGCTATATTCTGCAATATTATAGTCAACCAAATCTAAGAAATACCTTTTGACAGCAGTCAAACTTTTTGCACCAAGCACGCCAACCAAAAAAAGGGGACCGACAATATTCAATTCTTAAAAAAATCAATATCGATTATTTAGAGTTGGTAATCACACAAAATTTACAGTTTGATTTGAATAATACCAGAATAAATAAGAAACGGATAATTTAAAACACAAGATTTATCAGTTTCTTCGGATTTGTTGTTACTGCTTATTTCTAGAGGCACAGTTATAAAAATTTAAGATTGAAACTACAGTGAATTTCGGTTATAACAACGGCGGAGGGACCTCTTTAATGTCGTCGCTATATCCGGAGGTCTCTATATCCGAAATAATAAAAAGTCATGTACATATTTACTAATCATTTATTTAATTAAGTTGTACACGGGTGTTTTGTGATTTTTCTTTATTTTCAGGGATTTTGATTCAAAACACTCCATAATTTTAGCGCGGTTTTTCCACATCGTTGATATTGTAGAATGTGAAACTCCAAATTGTTTACACAGATCAACATTGTTTTGTCCATTTTGCAGTCTCGAAATGATGTACACTTTTTCTTTAACAGTAAATGTACGTCTAGGAGCCATATACACAAGTTTAAGAAACACTGTTCACTCACTGGAATTTCTATGTAACTGATTCATAAATTTAACTTTGTAAACATGCTACTAGTCCTACATACAAACAAAGCATTAGTTTGACCACCTGTGAATGTAAACAAAGGATAAGAAAGCTTAATAGTTTTATGAATGAGTCTTTGTGCCTTTGCCGACTCAGTCGTAATATCCGCAAGGGATTTCTAGAAATCGGTCATAAATGGTTCATAAACAAGTCAGTCAGTTCGCAAACAAGTCGCTATACCCGAAATTGACGCTATAACCGAATGAATTTCTTATGAAAGTATGCTTTAAATTCAAGGGACGTAAGTTTGACGTCGCTATAACCCAAAAATCGTTACAACCGAGGTCGTTATTAATGAAATCCACTCTACATTAAAAATAAATTTATTCAATAACTTTCAGTAAAACTAGCTGAGCTGTCGTAGTTTGGATTAATTATTATTTGATGTTCAATAATTCACTCAATATTAATGTCTCTTTCAAAGTTATTCATAATCTATTTTTTCTAAGTTTTTCTTCTAATTTTTCTACCAATTTTGCCCAAATATTCTTTGTGACATGGGCACATGCTTCAACGAATATAGAGGAAAGTGTTCAAAAAGTTAAAGCCGAGGCACAAAATAAGAAGACAAACACAAAATTACAAAATAACGCACATTAAGCTCCCGAAATGATAAGATTGAAATTACGTATTGGTTTTTTCAGCGCGGCCATGTATACGAGTTTTTTTGCCTACACAAATTTACGTTGACAAAATAAAAAAAAACTTGTTTTATTCATGATTCATGTAATATAAGGAATCTTAAAAATAAAAATTTTATTAAACAAATAATACATTTAAAAAATTAATGATTCGATTATTTCAATATTTTTACCTATTATTTCAATTTTGTTGCCGATTATTCGCATAATGATGAATTTTAATAATCCACGTCAAGTAAAATAATTGATACTGGTTATTTTTTTAATATTTTGCTTTGATTGAAAGATTCGAATTTAAATTAGTGATAATAAACTATACATGTTGTAATAAAATATAGATAACATTCTTCGGATTTACATAAAAGGTTATATTAAATTGTGTGAATTTGCTTGCGCAAAGTTATTGCGGAATGATTAATGTGAAACGTCAAAAGGTATTTCTTAGATTTGGTTGACTATAAGTGTTTAAAATATCATTTGTATAATAATATTATTATACCATTTATCTAATTTATGTGGTAGAGCCACTGCAATATATTAATTGTAGCAGGAATGGGTTGGCTCTCACAGAATACCAGCGTAAAATAGCACCTTATGGCTGTTGCGTTTCGTATGGTGAGTGTAGAGAACTGGAGTCCCTTTTTACTGGTAATGAGGCATCTTAGTCCTTAGTGGTGACAACACATCTGCATTTTGATTCATAATCAAGGATAAATGTAGATGTATATGAACCACAGCTTCCACTTACCATTAGGTGGACTGTATGTCCTTGACAAGCGCCAGCGCGGTACTATGGGTAGTGGGGAGAATGTATATGAACACACAAAACTCAAAGATGTGCACACTCTAATTTATAATAATAATATAGCTGATGTTTGTGAGACCATGGATAGGTAGTTAAGGGTTAGTTGAATTGTTTATTAGTAACATTGATTTTTTTTTATAGAATGAGGGTGACAAACAAACACACAGTCCACCTGATGGTAAGTGGATACTTTTGCTCAAATATCTTCATTTCTCAGTCTTTCTTCTTTATTCACTTCTCAATTATGAATCAGAATGTAGATGTGTTGTGACCCCTGAGGATTAAGGTAGAATGCCTCATATCCAGTAAAAAAGGGTCTCTTGTTCACACTCACCATAATATGAAACACAGCAACATTAAGCTGCTATTTTATGCAGCAGTCGAGCGAACGAATTTGTGCTACAACTAATATATATCTAAACTGTATACTACAGCTAACTAAATAATAACAATATATACTATAACCATACCAAACATATAAATATACCAAGTATAATTGATTAGTAAATTAAACCAAATATGATTACTAATGACTAATTATATTTGATGTTTTTCATATAAGATTGCAGTTATTTCTTTTAATCCTACAACATCAAGAACATACGGTGTTGTATCAATTCAACTAGTTTCTTTTTACTATTTATTATTTTTATTGTTTGTAATCTTAATTAAAGTCAACAGTCACCTGTCACTGGTCATACATTATGTAACAAATCACATCAACAACCAATGAATTCTGCCAATGGCGTTAAAACTATTCATAGCACTATGGCTCAGCCGCAGGTTCGAATCCTGCACGGAACAAGTATTTGTATGACCTGCAAATAATTGTTCCAGTCCTGGATGTGTTTCCTTGTGAAATTTACGTATATTACTGCCCTCATTATGCAGGAGAAAATTCTATTGTGGAGATAACATAAAAAAAAAAGAAAAAGGCTAATTTTAAAAACGGGCAGGTAGTCGATGAGTTGACACAGACAAATGACTACTTACATTCATCAGTTACTAATTTGTGTTTATCATTTCAATGAGTCAATCAATTTATAAAGCATAGACTTATTATACTATTTATAAAGTCAAATTATTTTAATAGAATCATTCATAGTCATGCACAACTAGGAGGAAATTTTCAGTAGTACCTCGGAGGTTCTACTACTGCAAATTTCTCGACAGAAAATACTCAATTTCTGGTTATGGCCTGAACTGGAATTTGAAATAAATGAATGAATGGCAAAATTATCTTATTGTTTATTATTTGTTAAACATTCAAACATTGTTTATACAGGCTTCTTGTATCATTGGCAATGTGGAACAATACCTGTCAAATCATCCAAATATCACTGTAATTGATCAATTAGAAAATGTAAGAATCTTGCTTAACAGGTAAGAAACGCTTGATATTTTTTAAAATTGTACTTTATTTGGCTTGCTAAAGTTTAATTTCAATAAGTATTTTTTTTTTTTGGGGTGTGTTTGTTTGAAATATTTACCTTTTTTTTTTTTTGTTAATAAACTTTTTTTTTTTTCGTTAATGGTACTTCCTTTTTTCCAAAAGGGTTTCTTTTTTTTTTTGTTCGGGCTGGTGTTAATAAGATAACTGATAATTTTATAAGGTAAATATAGAAAAATAATTTAATAATTTGTCATATTTACAGGTATTGTTATTACTCTATATTACAAGAAGAAACTTTATTCCAAAGCCAAGGAATATACACACCAACTTTTGCAGAGTTCACTACATGCAACATTGAACAAAATATAGAGATCATGAGACGAAGAGGTGTTACTTTCCCAGTCATATGTAAACCTACAATAGCCCATGGTTCTAAGTCTGCCCATGAAATGATTCTAATATTTAATGAAAAAGGCTTGAATGTTTGTAGACCTCCCTGTGTTGTTCAAAGTTTTGTTAATCACAATGCAGTACTACATAAAGTATTTCTAATTGGTAATAGGTAAGTTTTGCTTAAGCTATGGTAGTATGCTGTTTTTTAACACTTGATCGCTCATTGGGTTTTGTTTTTACCTTGAGGGATTCTCTGGCTACTACACATATTTAATTGGAGTGAAATATGGCAAGTATGAGGGAAAATGTCGACCTATTAAAAAAATCTATTCTATTTAAATGAATTAACTTAAAGACAACACTTTGACAAATAAAGTTTAGTTTGAACTCAATAATACCTACAATCATTATATTTATAATTGTTAGTGAGTCTGTTAGTGATCATGTCACTTTGAAATAATTCAACTGATTGAAGTTATATTTAAAAATATATTATTTCTGTCAAGATTATCGTTCATAGCTGTGCTAGGATTCAATAGACGAATTTAATATTTATTGGCCAAAATGAATTATATTCGCATCATAATATATGTTAAGGTTAAGCACCGAAAAAGAAAGTCACAATATCTCGGCATAATAGGTATAGTTAAGTTAGTGATGAATTGCATATTTACACTAATATTTTTGGATGAATTCGGATTGAAACTTCACCACATCACACCACCTACTACCGAAAAGGGCAGAACAATGTTTGTGGGGCCAGTTAGTATCAAATATACAATAAACATTATTATTTTGTCACTAATATTTTGCTCCAGTCTCAAACAACTTAATGAAAAATTTAAACATAAAAAATCTAAGAATAGATATATTAAAATCAATTTTTTTGTTTAAAAAAATTCCTTGGGAGAGGAAAAGTACAAACAATGCATTAATTCTTTTTTACTGACGATAAATCCAGTCTAGAAGAAGTATAATTAAGCAGTTACCATACATGAGATTACTTCCGGTAATTAAAATTGGCACTGGGAAGAACCTCACATGTAATTTTTTTTTAAATTTCTGTTACTAAACTACATAAACTGCATAATGTGTAAATTAGCTTTAAACTCAGTTTTATTCATTTTTACATGCATATTTATGAGATAATTTCTCAATATATGTTATATATAGATATTTACACAATCATCTCAGTAACAAAGAGATACTTTTTATGTCAGGAAACCGAATCACAATCTTATGTGCACAGCTTATTAGCAAGATGAGATTATTCACGGCTGCTTTGACCTATTTTCTTCGCTTTTTATCAACTTATATATAATTTATTAAAATAATCCTGTATTTAGGGATTCACACTGCAGAATCTACTAATCCATCGTCACTTAACTTTGAAGCATCAGTGTACATAGTTAATCAAACATGCCAATTTTGGAGGAGGAGCATATTTAATTTATTATTTGCTTCAATAGTATTTTTATCTATTCCGATATCTAGAATAATGTCTGAATTGAAAATTAGAGCGTCGTATGGGATATTGTAAAGTGGGTTACTAAGGGATTGATAAATTGGAGAGGGAATGTTGAGCAATTTAATATAGCTTTTTATAATGCTTGGAAAATCCTTGTGGAACCAATATGGGGAGTCCCTGACCAACCGATACAAGGAATGAAGTTTGGAAAGGATAGGATGGAGTAAATAACATGCTACTTTAAACAAGAACCTATCTGAGAGATAATGCCTGCGTAGAGATAGAGGGGGCTCAACACATTCAACTTGAAGAGCGAGAATGGGAGTGGACTTCATGCTACCAGTTATACGTAGACATTTTGACTGGATTTTGTCCAAGGTATTAAGAGCCATTTTGCTACATGGCTCTAGTAAAAAAGCATCCATAATCGAAGTGATCAAATTACATTGAGATTTTTTCACATTTGGAGGCAATATATATGATAAGTGAGGAATTCCTGTCGTTTTGTTATCCAGGATAACTCCTAAAAATTTCACTTGATTTTCAGTGGGGATTAGAGTATTACACAGCTCTATGTATAATTCGGGGATTCCCGCAAAAGAGCCTGACGCTCTAGAAGTCTCTTCAAGGTGTAGCTTCATTGTTCGAGATCGTACAAACTAACGTTTTGCTTTTGGCGAATACTGAAGAACTGAAATTAGCTACATTTAAATTTACTGATTTATATGATGAGGTCTCAGAAACCGAATTACTTTTGGAGATACCAAGACTGCGAAGACACTTCTGATTGGGTGTCTCTAGATTTTTTAAAGTTTGTTATAATATTTTTTAATATTATTATACAACATGTAACAAAAACCCTGTGGTTCCCGTTAACTGCGTTATCAGAATCAGTATCCAAGCATATAGAAATATTTTTTTCAAAAAAAAAATTGTGAAAAAAAAATTAATTTGCAAATTGTATGTGGTTTTATTATCTCTGCATTGGCCGAGGAGTTGGAGGATTGTCAACGACCTCACATTACCGATACTCGTGTGAGTTAGAGGAAATAAAACCACATACAATTTGCAAATTAATTTTTTTTCAATAAAATTAATTTTTTTAAATGTGTTTCTTTTGAAAAAAAAAAAATATTTCTATATGCTTGGATACTGATTCTGATAACACACTTAACGGGGACCACAGGGTTTTTGTTACATGTTGTATATAGATTGCACTGAAATTGTTCATGACGGTTTGCGTGTCCGTAGCTTCATGTGAGAGGAGTTTCAGTAAATTAAAATTAATAAAAAACTATTTGCGGGCAACAATGACCCAATCGCGGCTTAGCAATCTTGGTATATTAGCCATCGAACACGAGGCAATACAAAATATAAATTTCGATGAAGTTATTGCTTAGTTTGCAGCTGTCAAAGCTAGAAAGAAGAAATTTTAATTGTATTTTAGCGGTGGAAGGAAAAGGGGAGATCACGCGCCGGGCAAGGTGTTCTCCCCGGGGAGCGGCCAACACTCCATGTGATAGTTCGGAGATGTTTTATATATAAAGTTTATGATTCGGAATTTTGATAGCGTGGTTTAGGCTTCGGTGTTTTTCGCTTGCGGCGCGATGACAGCGCCGCCACATCACCCCCCTACTCAGACCGGAGGTCGATAGTGCAGCCTCGTTGCCGACGAATGTGCAAGTGCCAGTAGATTGCCTTGTAGTCTGCGGTGAGTCGAGAAGAAGGCAAGTAATCTGCGAGAGTGCCGTGAAGCAGAGGCGAGCAGTGAGGCTCAGAGCGGTGCCGAACACTGTATAGCGCAGAGAGTAGCTTGAAGGATCAGGAAGCAATATTATTCCAGTGCTGCGATGAACCTTGTGAAGCTAGATTGCTTGCAGGATATGAAGACTGCGGACGGTATCTGCTCGGAAGCGAATGGGTGGGGTATTCAATGACGATGATGAAGCTTGAAGTTTCCGAAGGTTGTTGGTTGCGTGTTCGGATCACGTCGGGTGGTCACCACTGCGGCCGTGGTACGAAAAGGGGAGATCTCCCGCCGGGCAAGGTGTTCTGCTCGGGGAGCGGCCAACACTTCGTGTGATAGTTCGGAAATGTTTTATATATACTGTTTATGATTCGGAATTATGGTAGCGTGATTTAGGCTTCGGTGTTTTTCGCTTGCGGCGCGACGACAGCGCCGCCACAGTATAACAATTCCTTTTCTGTCTTAGTTATTATTATGTTTTGTTATTTCTTCAATATTATAAATAATAAATGTTCCATGCCCTTTATCACATAAAATTTATTGCTTTTTACTTTCAATGGGGTGATACCACCAACTTCCGCACCGGGTGCCACCCTAGGTAGCTACGCCCCTGATGGGTGTAGAGGCTGTACAACAAGGGGCTCAAGACTGAACCTTGTGGTAGTCCCTTCCAGTTAAATCTAGCTGGTAAAATCTTCCTTCAGAGCGAACTAATATGCGTCTATGTGAAAGTAGGTTTGCTATGAAATTTGTTATTCTCTCGGGAATGTTCAGCTGATGCATTTTTTGCCTGAGCAGAGCGAGAACAACATTATCATGTGCTGCACAAACATCAGTGAAAATGTCTAAGAGAAAGTTGTTATTGGAGAATGCTAGTCTCATATCAGATACTAAAATGCTAAGGCTATCCATTGTGCTAAAACCTTTTCTAAAACTAAATTGGGTCTTTGATATAATGCCTCTGTTTTCGAGAATCCACTCAAGACGATTTTTTACAAGATGTTCCATGATTTTAGACAGGGTTGATGAAATAGCAATAGGGCGATAGCTTAATGCTGAAGAGGGGTCTTTACCAGGTTTTAGAATAGGTATAATAATATGTGTTTTCCAGTCATCTGGAATAGAACCGGTTGTAAAAGCCATGTTAATTATGCTTAAAAAGAACTGCTTACTCATAGTACCCATGTTAACAAGGAATGAGTAGGGGATACCATCAATGCCAGGGGAGGAATCCTTAAGGTGCTTAAGAAAATGGTTCATTAAGATTATTAAAAGAGTTAAATGAGTGAGGTGGGAATGGTTTTGAGGAAGGAGATATCTCTTCCTCCAATGGAACCCAGGGAGGAGCCAGACGGTTACTGAAATCCTCTAACCAATGGGAGGGGTCTGCACATGGGGAACTGCTATCATCTAAAGCGCCACGGAAGTGCCTAATACGTTTCCAAACCAGAGAAGAAGGAACATCCTTTTATTTTCTTTTCAGAATGAAGTTTTTGGACTGAGCAGTTATTTTCTGGTAATTAAGAAAATTTTCCATTGACATATTAGAGGAATATAGCCGTTCTGCTGCCTTTCGTTTTTTCATAATTGAGGAGCAGTCTGCGTCCCACCATGGAGGTGAAGAAATTTTACTTGTGGAGGAATTCTTCAAAGGGAAAATTTTGTATGCTACATTGTTCAGAAGGGTTATAAATTGGGAATAGGCACTCTGGAGGTTATCCAGAGATACTGGGGGAAGATAATTGATATTAATTTCTGTTTCTGAGCAGAATACGTCACAATATACAATCAGCTTCAGACAGATTGAATTTAAGAAGGGGTGATACTTAGGTTTAAAAGGATGGGAAAGTGATCACTTCCAAAAGAAGAAGAGAGTTTTCCATGATATGCTAGCAGCCAGGATTGGAGAGCACAATGACAAGTCTACTGCAGTTCTAGAATTCTGCGAAGGGTAGGCCATTCTGGTGGGAAAACCATCATTTAGGAGACAAAGATTAAATTCATTAAAACATCAAGTAGCAGATAAGAAAAAGAGTCAGATTTATGGGAACCCCACATAACATGATGGCTATTAAATTCTCCGAGAACAATGTAAGGTGGAGAGATGCTTGATAGAATTAAATTGAGTTCTATTATACAAGAAGGTGTGGGAGCCGGAATGTAAATGGATAGGATTGTGATGTCCATAGCCTTAACAGCTACTGCATTTATATTGCCATGTATAGGAGGAAGAGGAATGGGTGATAAGGAAATGGTCTTATTTAGTAAAATCAGAGCGCAACCATAGCCGTCGCTCCTATCACTACGATAACAGGAGAAGCCTGGGACTCTAAATGTGGATCCTGGCTTAAGCCAGGTTTCCGATATTGCAAGTATTGAAGGGTTATGAGTATTAATTAAGTGGATTATATCAGGTTTCTTATTCCTGATGCTCCGACAATTCCACTGGAGGTGAGTTAGGGATTCGAACTTTATATATAGAGGACTTCTAGTTTGCTTTTCAAGTTGAACGATAAATGGGAATCATCGAATTTGCCAACAATATCTGTAAGAGAGGCTACAAAATTTTCTAGAAGATTATCATTAGGAGATTATTATATTGCCTTGTAAAGCATGTCCATTGGGAAGAGATGACGAAGGAGTACTTGTAATGTTATAGTGTGAAACTTTATCATATCTCTGGCATAGATTTGGCTTTGTATATAGTTTTCCTATAGGACTGAGAAGGAGACAGAGTAGGAGGGTTTATAGATGCCTGAGGAGATGGAAGATGGCTTACAGGAATTTGTCAAGATGCAACATCAGAATAAGGTCCTCTGACCGCCGGGAAACGGGCGGAAGCCTCAAGGTGTAATATATTCTCTTGTGACATTACTATCTTGATAGCTTTTTGCCTTGAGTGCTCTGGGCAACTTTTTTCAACAGCTGAATGATCTGCAGAGCAGAAAAGACAGGTTGTGGAATCTGTAGGACAATTATCTTCGGTGTGCTCTTTGCTGCATTTAAAGCATCGTGGTTTCGATCGACATTCTGTCCAAAACGGCAACATTTTAGATATTGGATAGTAGGAAGAAGGTAAGTTTCAACTGGTATAGAAGCATAAAAGCAATATAAATGGGAGGGGAGCACTTGTCCTGAGAAGGTGAGGACAACAGTTTGAGTTGGAACCCACTCCACTTCATCACCCTTTTTGACCTTTCTGTTAAGTCTTCTGGCTTTAATGATTTTTCCTCTGCCAGGAGGGAGCTCAGACTCGCCTACTAATTCCACACATTTTACAGATTCATCGCAAACGATCTAATATTGTTTTGACACGTCAAAAGCCAACGCTAGCTTAGCCGTAATTTGAGGCGGATCCGCTTCCACTATCGCCTTCAGTTCGTCATTATCAACCTTCTTTTTCAGGCGGTCGCGAGTTTCATTTGTAAAACTTGCCCAAAACAATTAGGCGCATGACAGAAATGCGGTTTCAGCGACCGCACCCTTCCTCTACTCCCGCGCTTCCTTTCGTTACCAATCACCGTTCCGGCGCTCCCTTCCTGGTTCTGTTGAGGTCTCAGCTGTTGTCATGCGCCTAATTGTTTTGGTCACGTACACGTACTAAGTCAACATTTCCCGAAAGAAAGCGATTAAAGCACGAACGCATACTTCATGCGTTTTGTAGCAATTGTTCTTTCGTATTGAGATGATCATTGAGATTGCGTGCCGTTTCTACGTTGGAGTTTGTGAAAGAAGTGAAAATATTGTATTTAGAAAAAACAAAATCTAAAGAAACAAAAGAATCAATGATTAAAAAAGAAAAGAACAGAATGCCATTAATATGAACTGTATACAATGTTATTTAATTTCCATTAATTTATGTGAAATTTATTTCATATTAATGGAAATCAAAGGAAATGATAAAGAAATCAAGTTAGATATGTAGTATTCAAAGGTATTAGATATGTAGTTATAAACCATTGCGATCCTAAAAGTAGATCAAAATTTTAAAAAAAAAATAGACATCGCTAATGCATAATTAATCATATAACTTTGTCTCACATTTAAAGGTTACACAATAGTTTTACCATTATTAATAATAATTTATTAATAACAACAATAACGGAGGTTCAATGTTTTTTCAGGTATCACATTTGTGAGCGGCCCAGCCTTAAAAATTTTTATTCATCTGAAGACTTAGATCCTATATTCTATAGTACTGGAGAAGTTTGTAAAGCTGATAGCCAGTCCACTCTATCTATTTTAGATCCACATGACAAGGCAGATATCAAAATGACTCTTGATGAGAACAAAATAAAGTCTATCATAAGAGTGTTACGAAAAAAAATTGGCTTACTGCTAGCAGGATTTGATGTAGTTATAGATAACAATACTGGCAATCATGCTGTTATAGATATTAATGTCTTTCCAAGCTACGATAACTTCCCAAATTTTTTTGATCACCTATTGGACTGTATTGATGAGTATGTAAATAACACGTCCAATGGATATAGTTGCAATAACAAAGGTAGTTCAGAAGTAGATTACTTTTGTAACCACAGGCCCAATGGTTTGATTAATGTTGGGTTAGACCCACTCGGTGTAATTGGTATGAATATTAATTGACACAATTAGTTGATCTGATTTTAATACCAATGAACTACCATTTTGATTAGTTTTTAATTTTCCTTGGTAACTAAATACCCCAAAATTTTGATGTTTGTAGAGTATGATATTCATAATAGAAATAGAAGGGGGCAACGAAATATTAACTAAATAAAATATTACTAATTTTGTTTAACATTAAATAAACCAAAATACTGGCCAAATTTAGAGAGTAGGCAACGAAAAAGATGGTGATCCAAATGTGAGGTAATATGTACTACATACCTACTCACAATACTGCAATAGATCGGGAATAATTCTCTTTTCTTTCTTTTTTTACCATTTTAAACAGTCGATAGACTGTTTATAGACGGTAAAAATACATGTTTTATCTCCTTACTTGTCAAAAATTTGTCAAAAAATGCACAAAATATTGGCTTGTTTTTTAATTCAAATCGCAGAAACACATAAGCACTTTTATTTTATCGTTAAGCTTAGCTTATGCATAATATCTGCTTTTGTATTTCTTTTTCATTAGCCGTCAAAAGTTTACCGCAGTACTTTCCCTTTGTAGGGAGGATATTCTGTAATCACCACGCTCGGCGATCAAAGGTAATAGGTATTTTATATTTACGTTTAGTATAAACGAGATGGTTCTACCGCAATCAATCGGGAGCCATTACTTATATACAGTGGTGGTCACGTAATTAAAGACATTAATGGGATATTAAAACAACACAGTTTATCTACTCTTTATTTGTTTATTGCAATTTAATACGAGCTAGAAACAATATTAAAATCATTTATACATTCATTATGAAATGTTGGAATTAAACACTGAAAATAAACTTCATGTGTCCCGAATATTTAGTCAGTTTAACTACACTTAGACCAGCATGAATTAAGCAAAGACTTGGCCAACTAATTAAAGACGCACAAACTAAGTAATTATAAAAAAATATTGTAAATATTGAAATCAACTTTATTATGATAAATTTAAGACATATTATAAAAACAAAAAATCACGTTATTAATATTTTGTCGCGTGTCCTTTAGCAGCAATAACAGCCCGACATCGTCTTGGCATTGAGGCATTGTCCACACACTTCTTTGAAAGCTGCATTTAGTTGGTGTACGTACGTGTTTAGTTTCTAAGTTTTACAGTTGTATGCTTGGATTGGAATTAATTTTATTAATTATATGATCCCAAGCAGATCGTAGCATCCAACCATCTTCTTTATTAAATTGAGGATGTTTTTTGATTTTAATAGATTTCGAATCAGGATTTGTGGTCTATCAAATTTGATGTACACTTTCACAGACTGCATACTTCCCGGAGCGTCAATCCTTCACATCAGCTATGTTTCACTCGGGTTTTTTTTATAGGCTAATTATACGAGATAAAATCTGTGACAACTAGTTTGAATTTAATATTTGTGGTATTTGACATAGTCGCTTCTAACGAAAAATACGTCCCGTATTTGTCGTTAGAATATAATATATAATAGAATACGGGACAATACGACGATGGATTTTCTTACGAAGCTACCACTTATTATTTAGGGACCTACATCACTTTATTACTTAGGAAAGTAAGAAGGCTTTCACTTGCAATACATAGCGTTTAAATACATTATTAGGTTTATAATATATCTTTAAATTAAAGGAATTCCACTGTTTGTGTTTTATATTATGAATAATTGTCCTAATTATGTTAATTCGTATATGGGGATGGAGGTAAGTAGCAAGTTACATTTGTAATAAATGTAAAATAAGTTTTTGTCTAGATATTATAACGATTTGCTTATAGTGCATATTTTATTTTTATTTTTAAAAGCGGAATTAAGTATTTTATTATGTAAGATGGTGTGTGATTATGCCATTTAAAATAAATTGTAAATACTTTTGTGGTAATTTTTCATATTTATTAAGATTTTGTTTAACATGTAATGTTATGCTTTTATCATTAATTTTGCGTAATGTGTAGAACATTTAAATTTATTTTTAATAATAGTACGTATTCAGGCGTATGTAAACCAGAATTAATTGTATAATGTATTTTGTTCTATATTTTAATATGTAATAAGCCGGTGATAAGCAATTTTTTAAATTTCTGTGTTGCAACGTGTGTTACCGTTCATCATAGTAACATCTCATTTTGAATATGAAAATCTTTTATAGATGATTTTATAGACTGTAGTTCCAGGTAAAAATACTTCATCATGAATTTATAGGGTTATTTTAACGCACACGAATTTGTAACATTATTAAAGCGTTTTTTTTTTAAAATATGATATTATTTTGTCAAAATGTGTTTTTATGGTGCTCGAACGTTATTGAAATTTGTTTCAAATTTAATTCATATCTTATTATTTCACATAACAAGTGTTATATCAGAATGGCCTGTGTCCAAATAAAGCATTTACAGCTAGCCATTAGTATTAAAATTGTTTTGATCATTTGAAATTAATGATTCTAAAATAATTTGTTCATTATCATTCCATTAGCCTGTGTCAGTCCACAGCTGGAGATAAGTGTCTCCCAAGGCGCTCCAAATATAGCTATTTCCATTCCTAGTTGTGCGACTGTGAGCTTGTGGAGTAGTCGTATCGTTAGGGTTCACGTTTCCAGAATCCAGAACAACCCTTATTTCAATGAAGTCAAAGGCTTACTCATCATTATGTCCACAAATGCAAGACACAGGGGCTGATTATACACTGTTGTCGCCTATATTATTTGCCGCACTGTGTGAATGAGGTCTAAAGTGCCAAATCGTTCACGAAACCCGATCTGTTCTGCAGTTTGTAAGAGTTTATTTGTGATGACTGTTGAAACTATAGCTCGATCTTCTCGAGGCAGATGTCTGTTAAGCACGTCGGTTTAGTAACAGGTCAGCGGGGCTCTGGGATCATCGCATTTAGGATCGGGTAGTGACTCAGGTGAGGCATATAGTTTAGGTAGTCTTCGATCTCAGATAGACTCAGGGGAGGATATTGGAATCATGCTTTTACATTAGCGATGTGATGTCAAAATTTCTGTGCAAATACTTTTTTTAGCTCTTGCGTCTGGTATCGCAATTGTATTAGAGCGATGCAGGTCCCGTCTTACAACTTTACCTACCCCGCCTTGGTCCGTCTCCATCTCGAAACCAGAAAAAATTGCCCGATACAAATTGGGTTCATTTACCTAACTATAATATAAAAGTATGTCATTTAACTTTAAACGCTTATTGTAGATGTTTTTGTTTTGCCGGGAATTCCAATAGTTGTACGTTGCGAAGTTACGATTTTGGTGCCTAATCCCTTTCGGAGATTCTTCGAGCCGTGACCGTCGTTGCAATGATCGCCGCCACGTCCAGAATATGGGGCGACTGGGGAACTGTGGGCCGTGTTTCAGTGGTAATATACGTGGGATAATGCTATTAATTACCACGCAGTAGCAAGCAGGATGGTCATCGCATTGCTCACACATTGCGTCTGCACCGCCATCACAGGCCTAGACATTTTTGTTCTGGAGCGGTTATACCGCCATCCATAGAAAAAACCGGGCCTTTTAGCCTGGCATTTTCATCGGTCGGCACGGGATAAGAGGGAGTGGCAGAATTCTAAGGGCGCCGACACAACCATTCTAAGGTCATTGGATACTGCCATTCTAAGGCCGCAGCACACAACCTAAAAATAATGTAATTTTTTTAGTTTTTATTAAAATCCACTTGCTTATGTACCCTAAAGGAAAATTTTGTATAAAATCGTGTAGTGTATTAAATATTTCCTATCATTCCATTTAAGCAATACGGATGTATTATATACCAGAGACTGATTTTAAGAGAAGATATATAGTAGTAAGTTTTAATGTGTAAGTGTTCTTTACACTAAAATATATCTGTTACTCAAATATAATCTAATATACGAATATTTAAATGCTCTCTGATTTTTTTGTATTATCATAGATGTATGTTCACATATTTACCTTCTACTAGCTTATATATACTATATATTGTTAAAATTGTTTTACAATTATACATATTTTTCACAACATACTAATATTTTATTTATTGAACACATATTTTTACCTTTTTATTATTCTATATACTATAGTAAAATTCCTATGCCAAATCATACACATGACATTGAATATTTTTTGAAATTAATTTGCGTTAATTTAATTGATAATGTTTTACGGTTATACGACATCTCTATGGAGCAAGTAAAGTATAACGCAATTTCAATTGCCTCGTTGGTAGGATGAGATACCAGGTTCGAATCCCAGGTCGGGTCAAAATCAGTTTGTTTGGGGTTTTTTCAAGAAATTCCCAGTAGCAGCCCGGAGTCAGTAATTCGCTGACGTTTCACCCCCGTGCCACGAAAACCACGTCAACCCGTTGGTCCTACGCCTAAACTCCGGTCGCTTCCCATCGGACTATGAGAGTAAGGGAATAGAGTTATGTTTGCGCATACATAACAAGCATAGTCCTGTCTTCAGCAGATGACTAGTCTCCGGACAAAAACAAGCATATATAATTATAACTTAATGCGTAAACGAACGCAATATCTTCCCATGGGTGTCGTAAGAGGCGACAGAGGGAGACAGGCAGGAGATGGGCAGCAGCATCTTCCTAATAACAACAATAATAAAATAAAAAACTGCGGTTGCCAACCCGCTCGCTAAGCGTGGCAACTATGGCAAATATCCTCCCATGAGTAACGACGCAAACAAACGGCCCCCATTCCCCGGCGGCCCCGCTATTCCTGGCTACGGTGACGACCATGGTAACGGCGGGGCAGGGGGTGCTAAGAATCTCCGGTGGAGGTTCGGTTGCCACCTACGACGAGTCGACCTGCCAAGCTGAAGCCTGCCTGCACCCTGAAGACTGACGAGAAGATACTGGAGCTGGAAGAAGAGGTAGACAAGTTGCGCTGGCATATTATTGGATTATCCGAGGTTCGAAGAGAGGGGGAGGACACGGTAATCCTCGAGTGCGGCAACTTGTTCTATCACTGGGAGGGCGACCATCTGTCCCA